GATTTGATTCGATTTGAAAAAATCAAATCAAATTCAAATTGCTTAAATATTTGATTTGATTTGATTTTGAGGAACCCTAACTACAATGATAGATAAAGTTTTATGTTGCTTTGAATTGAATAGGCAATAGGAATATGTTTAAAAGTAATTTCTTTCAAATATTTTCTACTATTTGTTACGTGAATAGGCGAAGGATATACCATCATCATCAAGTTTGGAAATGATAATAAATGAAGCTAATAATCTCCCTAGTTCTAACCTATTAGGTGGAAATGATATAATAATGGTAAAAGTTGTTCTTGTTTATTGTGCAAAAGGAACTCAAATACCTCTTCATTAAATCATTAGAAATACTATAACTCAATTCTTAACCAATGAAACTAATGAAAGCATTCTTAATAAAACTTCTGAGAATTTAACAGGTCTAGATGAAGTTAAGGCATAATAGTATTTTAGGTAAAACTATTTCTCAAATCTGAATCATTTTGCCCAGTAAACTTTTAAAACTATCTGAAACCTTAATTTAAAAATACTTTATAAATCAAATTGCAAAACTAGATATAACATTGCTTTATTAATATATGTGACAAATACTCAATATTTTTATTAAATAATATTACAAAGAACTTTTAATTCATCAAAAAATACAAAGAACGTAAAAAAATAATGTGTACTTATAAGTACAATATTTATTTTATCGGAGGATATAATATAGCTATATAAAGTTTTTAGTTGCATCAATAAACATCAGAGATAATGATAATTTTGTGAAATTTTGCTATTAAACAGTATACAAAACTAAGACTAAGAAGGAGTGCAGTATTACCAAATTATTGACATGAAATTATAAAGGAGTATTATATTGTAATCATATGAGTTATGTTATTATTTAAAACAAAAATTTAAATATGTTATATTGCTTTATAGGAATCGTTAACTGAATACAGACCAAAGAAAACAACTTCTGATTGGATTCACATTACAAATGCATTAATAGTAGTTAACAATAAAGATACTGAAGAAGAACAAGACTCAAAAAATACTTATATATAGTAATGCTAGCTTTGTAAGTATTAATTAAAGTTTTATGATCATTTATTAATTTATTGTTGTAATTTTTTTATCTTGCAAAATCTGAGTTATTCATCAGGAAAATTTTTATAGCGAAGTACTTCGAAAAATTTACGATTTGTAAATATTTCGAAATTCTTCGCCATAA